GAAGCTTTGGAGAAGGGCTTCTTCCACTAGCCGACGGGTGAGGTTAAAAGAAAGCACCTGGACAGCAACCGACCATGGGAACGGGGGACCGGGGGCCGGGGAAGGGAAGACTGGTTTATGCTTAACTCTCATTCCTGGAGGGATGAGGGACATGGGGTCGAAAAATGATGGCAAAGATGTGACGCCTCAGATTGGACCCCGCTTGTATCAATCCCGCTTGTAAAATTTCTCTTTCAAAACATTTTCCCACTGTGAGAGGATAAATACAAAAGAAACAGAACATCTTCAACTGTAAAATATCCCATTCGACAGCGTACCAATATCGATTTCACCACTCATTTCCTCTGTGCAATCAATCCTATCCTATCTCCGTGTTCAGGAACCAAAACCCTCAAAAAATGATACGTGAACCCGGCTCCCCTAGTGGCATTGAAAGCTGTCTCCTCGCTCTCCTCGTCCTCATGTCACTCCGTACCTACATAAATCGAATGCAGTGACAGGTGACACACCATTGCTGTATCCCTTTCGAGATTATTATCGTCCGACCTACAGGGAAAAATGAATGAACTTCGTCAATGGCTCTGTCCCCCACTCACACGCATAATCTCCGTGCTTTAGATACCGCCGCACACATGTTCCAAACCCAGCACCCAAGCATCTTAGGGAGGACACACATGAACTACTCAGGAGCGGGAGTAGATCTCCTGATACTCATAGCCGCTCGCGGTGCATAACTAAGCCCTCCCTTGGTCGGAGTTTCAAATAGAGTCGAGTCAAATTGAAACACAGCACAAGGCAGACAAACAACCCCCCTGAACCTCTCATCTCAACGAGTTACGACAACCACTGAACCCCACGCCGTGATATTCGTATGGATCGATATTTATCAAGAAAAAAATCGAAAGGAATCAGCTTGCAATGGCACAAGGGGCCCTTTTTGCTTGTGCTGCCTTCGTTCGTATATTACCTTCCGGAGCATATTCCGAAAGATGTGCTCCGTGGTGGTATACGATGTATCACCAAGAGCGAATCGTCCGATCTCCGATTTTTTCTCTATCATCTCATCGTTGCACAGCACAAACTCAAATACGACTAAGTTCACAGCTCCATAGTTAGAATAAAGAGCAACGAACCCTATCGACTAGTCAACAAATTATTTGCTCCGTACTCCGTTATTAGACGGATATTCCACCACATCAAGTCAGAATTGTTTCGGTTCCAATATTCAGTTTTCCCCCTTCACCGATATCAATTAGGAACTGGAATGGTGAAGAACAGAGATCATATCAGAGATCTCTTCCTGTCTGATACTTTTTTTAGCTACGCTGCTAACCCCGGTCCGCCGGGGGGGGGGGGGGGGGTTATTTTTCTTTTCCGGATGCGTTTTCTTACCTCATATACAGCAGCTCCATGCTGTTCATACATTCCCTCTCTAAGTTTTCTATGCGCTCGTCCGCGGGAAAACCGCAAGTGGCTAGATTGAAAACTCTTGGCCGCCTCTCACCCGCACACGGACAGGCTGATTTAAAAAGTTCCTGGAGCCAAAAGGAAAAAGAAAAATCCCCGCGTTTGAACGGATAAATCCTTGCACCCTAGGGTTGACTTATATACCTCTTTTCGTCGGATCACCACACTTAGTCTTGAGCTTTTCACTTCAGTCTTGCAGCCCAAAAAAGAAAAAAAAAAAATTAAGGAAAAGAAGAAGGGAAGAAGAAGAACGAAGGGCAAAGCCGATAATAATACTGAAATTTAGTTGGAAATTCAGAATATGATACAGAGGAAACATGAAGCCAAGAGTCCATGATTGATGGATGGCACAATGCTACAGGGCCACGATCACCGTTCCAGGGGGGGGGGGGGGGGGGGGGGCGCGTTTTGGGCGCCCAACGCCTTGTCAGGCTTAGACGGGACCCATCTGCTTTTGGCTTTTGCGGGTTAACTTTGGCTTGAATTCTTTGGGCGGCGGGTGTTGGGACGCCTTGGAAGTTTTGCTTGGTGGAAGGAGAGAGTAAGTAGCGGAAATGTGTGCTGTAAGCTATTTTATCACGGCTTTAGAAGTTAAGAATGGCGCGAACAATCTTCGCGACCGAAATGCGATCGAGCTATGATTGGCCAGGCCACGGAAAAGCCTGAATTACCTCACTAGGGGGGAGTAGTTAGCGTGCATGCAGCTCAATCTGGGCGCTTCAAAAACACGATTGATTATGCGGAGAGAAGAGAAAGACTACTCCTGTGTTTCGAAGTAAATTGCAAATGCAACGATAAAACTATGGATAAAATCTCTCACTATTGTCGCCCCGCGTGTACTCGGTACATGCGCACACGGACCTGATGATGTGGGACGGGGAGGTACAGTAACAGGAGTACAATGATGTGTTTTAATCGGGCCCTTGTACGGTATAAATCTTGCAGGATGAAGGCTGGGGGCGGCGCGCGGCAGGGGACTTTTTTTTTTTTTTTTTTTTTTTTTTTTTTTTTGCCCTTCTTTTCTTTGACTTTTTTGTGTAAGAACCTTCAGCGTCAGGGATACCCCTTCATATTTGCGCTCGACCTCTGGCGAAACACTGCTCCCCCTTCTCCCCC